GAGCTTATTAACGTCTCCCCTGGTTACACTGAGAACTTCTTCTGTTATGCAAAAATTTTGTAGTACACAAGAAATTCACAATCAAAGCGTAACTTTTTAAAGTCATAAAGACTTTGTGGAGCTCCTACTGTCATCTTGTGTTTCTGGGGTATTTCTTTCATACATATAAGGTCTTCAATCAAATAAAAAGCCTCAAAATGCTAAATTACTCATAAATATTCTTGATTTTTATCATGTTGCTGAACACATTTTAGACAGCGGTACAAGGCTTCAAATTTGGAAGGTGGTTACGGGTTTGATTAATGATGCTGAGTATTTCTCCATGGTCTTGCGGTATTCATTACAACCATGCATAATTCCCAATCAGGGAACACTCCATCATAGCAACATAGCACTGCATCAAGAGCTCCTCAACACAGCTGAGAGAAGGTTGACTTGGTAATTGAATATGACGACAGCTCATGTTGGGGACATCAGCAAGATGCCACAATGTTTATGACGCTATTGCTTTGCGGGGAGATGAGTACACAATCACTGTCTTCCACAGCTGCCACATTTTTCCGTGCTCGACACATCTTTATGGTCAAACACATTGGGATCTGTTGTGTAATTATATGTAGCACGTGCATTGTGTCACCGAATGAAATATACCTCCAATAATATGCAACTGACTGCTTCCCCCCCCCCCATCTTGCTGCATGGAATTCTGTTCGGTCTCCAAGGTCACAAGGTCTCATTCGGATTTTGTCTCTGCGTTTTCTAAAGCACGCGAGTTGACTTTATGCGACTTAAAAACTTGGAGCATTTCCTGAGGTTGTAAGTAAAATGTCAGCGGCATAGTTTAGTCAAAAATACTTCAGGATTTTGGTGTCAGAGCTCTTCCATATCACCTGTATATTGAGACATATTTTTATACTCCAACACTAATACTTCTCTCAACTGCAGTCTGTCTGTGGATGGAAACAGATTTCCTTTGTGTGTACATGAAGAGTGATCATTGCTGAATTTCCTTTATGAAGTTCAGGGCAATCTATTAAACAATTTGGGATCATTTGCATGAAGGTAACAAACATGTATCACCTAGTGTTAGTGGTAACGCTATACATCCAAATAAAAGGGGTCAAACACAGTAAAAGTTGAGGTCAGCCCAGGGCTGATTGTGTTTACATGTCAGTAGGTGTGACAGTGAAATTTCACCTTTGTACCCTCCAAATTTGTCTCTTGACTAAATATCTAAATTTCCATATCTAATCCTGGATCTGAAGATTCAATTTCTCTGCCCTCAATCAGAAAGTGACCACAAAAGTCTCTTGGGAAAGTAATCTGCCAGAAAAACTACTGACTTTAGAAGACCCATGTTTGATTAAGCTTTCCATCTTAGACATTGGTGTCAAGCAGTGATGCTTAAACCTAAATTAATGCAAACTTTTCCAAATACTACCAACTTCACAGACTTGCAGTCTTTTAGCTCAACATTTTACAAAACGAGAAACAAAATGATTTGTACAAAGTGACTGGTTATAAAGTGCTGCTCATTTATGAGTTAGAGGTTTACCTAAAAAGTTGAAATGAAGTCTAAAGGTAGAAAGATTAACACAAACCTTAAAAGTCAATATGGCTGCCTTTGTTACAGATGTTATTGATAAGAAATGTTTTTGTTGTTGTTTTTGTGTAGTCTTCAGTGCATTGCGTTGTAAATAAATTCATCACACTAAAAGACGTGGAGGAATATTTTCATGTTGAAGTCATGCAAAGAATTAACATAATTAAAAAGACACAAATGGGTCCAGGAGATGATTGTATATATGCTGCTATATATGCTGGTCAAGCTTCTCACATTGCCCAAAAATATGCATACAACCCCAAAGACCCTTCAAGGATTGAGTTGGTCGAATGTATGAATTGATGAATCAATGCAGAGGGATGGATGGCATTAATATACATTGAGTGTAGAAAAAAAAAAGAAGTGTCACTTTCAACCCAATGTATCCACTGTGCTATGCAGAGATGGAACCAGTAAAAAAATGTTCTGGCTGTTCCCTGGAGGGCCTGTAAGATGAGGGAGTGGGCCACCGCAAGCCCACAGGGGGCCGACAGAACTCCTGAAACTAGGCAGGCCTCCAGCTCCCAGCATGCATACCATCCCATCTTCCTACCCTCAGGAAATACTGCAATGGTTTAGACTGGCTTTTCACTGTGCCATGATGCTTTCATTAAACTGGTTCACTCCCTGTTTTCCACTGCTGAGCATCTCTCCCATCTGTGTTCACTCACAGCCATCGTCTAATCTGCATAGGCTCTGGGGGACAAAGAGACCATACTCCTGAGACACAGCAATTCACGATAAATCTGACTGGATTCCCCAGCGTCCCCGACAATGCATTAGCGAGGCTGCATCGTATTGAAGTAGCATCTCGGCTTTATCTGATAATAATAATTGTTTGTGCAAACAAACTCAACGTTATTACATTGTTGTTGCCAGTATTGACGCTAATACGGTTCTTTTTTTTTTTTTTTTAAAGGTGTTTTGAATAATTTAGTCATGAGCTATGTAGGGCACTCTTGATTTAGCACAGGGAAAGTTAAACCTTCCTGTTTTAGCAGCGGCTAACCACATGTGTGATCAAAGAGAAGCAACAGAGTTAAATGGTCTTTGGCAATGCTGGTTGCAATGTGAGTTATACTGAAGGCAGATTAGCTGGATCAATTTAATGTGTATTACTAGTTTAATAAACAGTCAAATTAATGTTTGCATAAAAAGCAAATCTTTAACAGGCAAAGCCCATCAGCAGACCCTAAAGTGGCACAGTGTGAGTTCTTACTATACCGCACTGCATTCTCAGCATCATCTTCTCAATTTCTGCAAATAGAAATGTGGAGATAAAGTTATGTTCAGTCGCAGCTTCACAATGGGATTAAACAATAGCTGCTCGCCTCATTCTGTGCAACTTTCAGACGCAATAGGATGTATGGAAAGCATAGAGAGATATTCCTCATGCTTATAAACTCATCAATGGCAGTACTTACCACAACATAAGCATGTTGTGATATGTGGTCTACAGTGGTGGGAAGTACAAGTACTTCGTTACTGTACTTAAGTACAATTTTCATGCATCTGTACTTTACTTAAGTAGATTTAATGATGGGTACTTTCTACTTTTACTCCACTACATTTTACAGTAAGTATCTGTACTTTCTACTTCACTACATTTCTACAAAACTGTCGCGTTGCTCGTTACATCCAAGTCGCGTTGCTCTTTTTTTCCGTTAAAATGTGAAGTTCAGGGTCTTAAGGTGGCGCCGTAAAATCCAAGCATAACGTGACTTAGTGTCTGTTGTCACCCATCGCCTCCACCTTTACTCGCACGCGGAGCTCCAGACATGCGCAGTGGTTTCCTCTGAGCGGGAGAAGATGTCTAACTAAACGATAATAGCTGCATAAATCATAAGATATGACGACATGTAAAACCAGCAGCGCTTCGCTTTCACAGACGGTGGGACTTTATCCAACTTTTAGCGTCACTTGGAAGGAAAGCTTAAAGAAAGGTAAGCTATGTGGACGTGATGCTAGCAAAGCTAGCTGTACAGAGACACATGTTGCATCTGCGATGAAAAAAGTTGTCACTCATGCGCTGAATTATTGTGTGGAGGTGTTGACTGAGGTGTCGCATTTATGGGACAACGCTGTGACCAAAGTGCAATATAGTGATATGACATTCAGGAACGATCCGATTCTTCTGGACGGATCTTTACTAAGGTTGATGGGACTGAAGCCTCACTGAGTGCCGTTCTTTGTTCTTGTGTACACTGCAAGGTATGTATGTATATATATATATATATATATATATATATATATATATATATATACACACACACACACACACACACACGCACACACACATTTATTTAATTGCCGAATAAGTAAAAGTTGAACTATGATCACAGAGCATGCTCATTGATTGATTTCGTCTCCTGTCATGGTGGCAAACATGCAGTGGGAGGGAGGATGAGAACAGTCACGGTGCTCCTTCTTGTTGCGCCGTTGGACAGTGTTCATAGTGTCGTTTACCGTTAATTGCTATGTTTCATGGTTTAATGGTGCAGACAGTTGTGGTTTCTGACATGGGCAGTATGGGCAACTGCCCAGGGCGTTATTTCTTTTAGGGATGGCAGGAGACCTCTGTGGATTGTGGCACAGCCATGAAAGCAAAACGGAATGAAATGAGTTTTAATTGATACTGGTTAAATATATTTCAGCTCTAAGTCTTTAATATCTAGGTGTTTTTTTGGAAATGTGGATCTTTCAGATCAATCTGAGAACCAATTTTGATAAACTTAATTTTATTGTGTCATGTAGCGCAGGGCGCTGGTCTTAGTCTCGGGTTCGGTGTTCTTGACTACAACTCTGCTACGTGGCTCCTTGGTTGCATGTCCTCCCTCACCCACCTTCTTTCTATCCCCTTTCTGTTGGATTTCTTTCTAAATAAATGTCACTAATGAAGTTCATGCTACGTTAGGACAGGAAATAAGATGTTTCCATCCCTGAAATTATGATGCATAGAATCACATATCTAAGTCTAAACTCTTACAGAGAATAAACACAATAAGAACATGTTTAATCTGTGACATTGTTTATTAAAATGGCACATTTCTTATGTATTAAAATTAAATACTATCGGCACACTTAATGATATTAGCGATTAGGTTATGTATTCAGCAAGTACTTTTACTTTTAATATTTTTAAAAGCCAGTACTTTTTTACTTTTACTTAAGTAAAATGTTAATGTGGTACTTTGACTTTTACTTGAGTACTTTTACTTAAGTACATTTTTTGAGTACTTTCTCCACCACTGGTGGTCTATATCAACTGACATGATCAGATGATATAGACCACATCATAACTAATGAGAATAGGTTTAGAAGATTTATGCCGTTGCTCCTTGTTTTCCTGCTCAACAAACTGAGATGAGTTCACAAAACATAATATATCTCTCTACAGATGTCTTTTCCTGATTCTGAACGGAGCCCAGGCTCAGATCTCTGTTCCAGTTTTGGTGGAAGCACCAGCGGAAGCTCGGTCACCACAGAGAGGGTATGCAGTATCATTGTGACGTGTTGTTCTCCTTAAAATTCTGCTGCGGAGCAAAACAAAACAAAACAAAAAAAACAGCATCCTGCCATACAAATCAGTGACCATCATATCCTCCCTACAGATATCCTGGATGGAAGGCAAGCCGGAGAAATTATTTTACTGACTAAACCATACACATACTGTGCAATGCAGAAATGCAAAAGTTTTGGATTCAGTCAGAATGTTGCTCTAAACAGCTTCTCTCTCTCTCTGTCTGCTATTCTACCCCTTTATACGACATAAAGATGCTCATTCTTTAAAATTACTTCCTGCAGGACCAATTTTTTTTTTCCCAAGGTTGCCTTGGTGAACCAGCCTAAGTCAAGATTAAGATACTCAGGGTTAATTGAACCTGAGCATTTTGAGAAAGTCGGTACATCTGAGTCTCCTGTTGAAACAAGCAAGAACCACTAAAACTATATACTTACTATTAACTGAAGAACTCTGGACTGAGAGGGCTCCAGAAAGAAGTGTCTTCTCCAGATACCTTCAGTTTTGAATAAAAGCTACAGCTGCTCACGTGAGCAAGCCAAATTGCCTCTTCAGAAACATCTTCAGGCTCCCACATACTTCACGGTCACATGCTTTGAAGATGTTCTTGTTTGCACACATCTTTCTTAAACAACACAGGCCACCCGAGGCACATCACTCCCGCTTCAGTCTAAGTCACACTCCTACCTGCGGAGGTTCACACTCCCTCCTCTAATTTGCTTTTACGATTTGGTCAGAAAGAGAGCGGCACATTATAGCAGGTATTTAGTGAAGAAACATATAAATGTACATAAATCCTCAATGTGTCACAGCCTCCAAAAAGCATTCATGTCTCCAGCAGATACCGCATATTTCAAAACATGTTAGAAATTGAATTGCTGGTCTTATTGCTAACATTGTCATACCGACAAACAAAGGAAAAGTTTATACAGACTTATCAGTACAACCAATAAATAATGTCATGGACTTCCATGGCTGAGCAGCTGCATTTAACCTTTTCCATCACCAGATGCAACACAAGCATTTGGGGGAATGATATAAAGCACACTGTCATGGAAATCCCTGAAATGATGAAATATGCCTCTGTCTGATAATCCAGTGGATGAAACTGAATTCGGTAGTTGCCAGGTGATCGGCTCTTGCCTGACAGCTCTGTGTCAAGCCAAAGTGGGGACTGCCTTTCAGTAGCGGGGGTTTGCCCCTAGGTTCCAGTGAAAGGTCACAAGACCAAGATGATTTTGGTCAGTTTTATGCTTCTGACTTTGTTGGAACAGTTTACAAGTGGCTTTTCCTGTTCCATCATTGCTGTGCACTTGTGAAGAAACCAAGGTCCATAATTATACTGACGAGTATATTTGTTGTGGAAGACGTTGCATGATCCTTAGGGTTTAAGTCTGGGATGTAACTCAGGTTCCTGTGTCCAAAGACGGGCGACCGAATACGTTTGGTGATATAATTGTAGTTGTTAAAAGGCTCTGGTTGAATCTCTGCAACAGTCGAGTGTCGCTTCAAGCCTCCCATTACAGTCAGGTGGCACTTCTCACTACTTCACTCTGGAGAAGCCAAATCAGCCCCTAAATTGTGCTGGCTGTGGACATCATGACACATTTTTCTCTTTCAGTCTATTCGGTGAAAAGTCTACTGATAGAAAGGCCTTTTACAGTTTCCAAATATATCAGCTCACCTCTCTGTGCAAAGGGCTAAAAATGGTTAAGCTGCCATGCACTTTCCATCAGTTCGCCAGGAACTGAATGAAACTCTGACAGACAGAGAAGTGCAAACAAGGCAAGGACTGTGTCCCAGGCTCTTCTCTTTGTGTTTCCAGCAGGACGGATATTAACACACAAATAGAATATACCGCTAAATCTAAAAGACACACGCGCACACGCACACATGCACACACAGCTGCCTGCAATAGCTAAGATTAGCAAGGGAGCAAAACATGGTAAAGTTGTGGTATTACCATAAAGCAAACTGCAGTGGTGGGTCCTAATTATATGTTGGTGGATTTGTCATTACAAATGATTTTTTTCCCATTACGTAGATGGTTTACAGCCGTGGTTTTATGGGGCTGCAATTATGCACAACTGATATGCTAACATGCTCGTAATGATAATGCTTTCATGGTGAATTTGATTTAATTGCATGTTCACCCTTGGAGTTTAGTCATAGTCATTTTAAGTCCACGGCTCTAAACAAAAATAATAGCAGTTGTATGCGGAGATGTTTTTACAAAAGTGCTTATTTTTTATTACCTCAGGTCTCATTATGTTTTAGTTGGATTTGATGTGACAGACCAACACAAAGTGGTGGAGGGTTGTGAAATGAGAGGAAAATTATTTAGCGTTTTCGAATGGCTTACCAGTGAAACTCTGAAACGTATGACCCACATTTCTAAATGTTTTAACTATATTACACTTCAATTAAAGCTGCGAGTTGTTGGGTGGTTTATCTCTCCCAACTTTTAACATTTAGACACAGACAGGTTTTTTTTTGTGGTTTTTTTTCACAATCTGCTTCCAGACATGCTCAATTTGAGTCATGTCTGGACTTTGACTGGTCCATTTGTGTTTTTGATCAAAATCTCTCCATCGTAGCTCTCCCTGGCTGTGTGTCCAGCATGTGTCCGATTACACGAAGTCATATATGTTAATTGGATTTTGAAGGGAGTTGGTTGCACTTGACTTAGGGATATTTGAGTAAAGTAGATCGGATACGTTGGCACACAATGACTTTTTTCTACTTCTGTAAAAGTTTTTTGATCTGTATATTTTTGGAGTTACTTTTTCCGCAAGGCTGTGGAAAAAAAGTGTAAAGCACAAGCAGTTTTGTCCATTGTTTAGAGATTTTTCCACTGTCACTTGAATATACAATAGTTGGAGCAGTGGCGTGGGTGAACCCTGAACCCAATGGCCTTGCAACACATGCCCAACATCTTGTGTCTTTTCAGTGACCTGTTTTGGAAACTTTCAGACAAGTTTACTTCTTATTGTCCGCAATCGTTAGATGAAGATGAAAGGAGACATAAAAAATCTTGTTGGAGATATGTTCCTGCACTGCTAGGATGTGAGTCAAGAAGTAAGTAAGTTAGAGTTGTTTTATGGCTACTTTTCTGCTGCACCTGTGGGGTTTATGAACCACAGCGAAGCAAAGTTGCAAAATAAAATAATAATAATTAACTATTAATAATAATTAATAGTTAATAGAACCGTACATAGCTTGCAACAGACAGACACGAACTGATGCTACAAATAGAGAACTTTTACAGCATTCAAGATGAACAATTTTTCCTCACTAAAAAGAAAACAAACAAAAAAAACACCCCATTTATGAAAGTTAATTTCTACAAAATGACAATTAGATAAAAGTATTTAATTCAAAATAAGTAATTGCACATATATTCAGCCCTTCCAGTCAGTATTTATTAGATGCATGTTTGACTGTGTTGTTGCATAAAGTTTGCGTGGACAGGTCCCAATCAGACTTGCACATCTGGAGCGATGTTACTTCATACTTCCTCTCGAAGCTGTTCAAGCTCTGACAGGTTGAGTGGCTTTTCAAGTCCACCCATAAATTCTCCGTGGGATCGAGGTCTGGGCTTTGACTCGACCACTCCAGGACGGGAATCTTGTTGTCTTCAAACCATTTCTCTGTAGATTCGACTTGATGCTTCGGGTTGTTGTCTTGCTGGGAAATAAACGTTCCTTGAAGCCAGAGTTCTCTTGGAGAAGGACACAAAACGCCATTTACATGCGTATCGTATTCCTTCCTTTTCTTTTTTATTTTTTTTTTGATAATTGATTTAACCAAACTCTGAGGGACGTTCAGCGCCTCTGAGATTTATTGTATCCATCCCCTGATCTTTACTTTTCAGTAAGCTTTCCTCTGATTTACTGGGAGCGTTCTTTTGTCTTCATGCTGAAATGGCAGCCAAGAATATTGAGAAACCACTGAATGAACCTTCCAGAGTCTATCTAAAAGTGAACACATCCCCCGTTACAATTTCAGATCTTTTAGAGTTTTAAAAAATTTCAGGCCATAAAAAATAATTTCCAGACTTTTTCCAGCTTTAATGTGACACACAGTCACATTCAATGTCTTAAAATATTATTGAAAATCTCATTTAACTCACTGACTCAGGTCAAACACATTATATTGATTAATTAAACACACACGTTCCAAGCTTTTCTTTCTTATTAATTGTGGTAATTTTCTGCTTTAAGAGTAGAAAACATCAGACCAATGAAAACCTTTCTAATACAGAATGACAGACTTAAAAGTATGCAGCTGAAAAGTATGTTCAATATCTGCTTGAAGATCATTACTTCCAAAAGGTACTTCTGATCTGACATGTTATTTGTTTGTCTTGACCTCACTGCTCGGCAATAAATTTTATATTTTTAGAAAGTAAGTTTATGTGAAGCCAAATTTGCAAGCTAAATATATATTTGCGTTTTTATGTTGGTTGTGGATGCAGTAACTTTTCTTTTTTTTTTAACACCATACAGCCTCTTATGGCGCAGAGTCAGCTCTTCATTGGGTGCAAATTCAATCCAGAAAGATATCTAAATGAACTACCATTTAGTTTATGATTCTGTGTAATGCAAGTGGTAAGAAGTAAAGCTATTCAAGTAGACCCGTTCGAGTGCTTCTTAATGAAAAAAAAAGGTCTTTAATTCGTGATTTTATTTTTGTTTTACATCACCGATTTCTCTTTCATCTAGTTGCCCACACGCAGTGATTTTAAGTAGCACATTATGATGCTCAGGAACTTTAACCAAAGAATTCATGGTTTATGGTCAACGGTTTTATGTGGAAAATGGGAGACATGCACCCAGTAACACATCCACCGAGACTGGTGTTGACTGGTGTTGGAGGAAATATTTTCCATGAAGAAATTCCTGAGCTTGTAAACAGCTCAGGTCATCTGTGATCGTAACCACTCATTTTGTTTTCACCAGCACTCACAGTTTTTCCTTCTTTTCCTTTCTTCTTCTTCTTCTCCTTCTTTTTTCCTGCCCCAGCAGAAGCGATCGGCCTGCATGGGGGTCCGCAGGTGCACATAGAGCCATGTGCTGGTGCACATGAGTCAATTCGAAATTACCTAGCAGCTTCATAGAGAAGCTTTGTAAGCGTTAAATGGCCACCTATGAGCAGTCATAAAGCAACCATTGTGCCGGCGAGTGGGCTGAGTCACATCATTCTGCTTCGGATCTGCATTTACTGTGTGTCTTGATCTCTGGGAGGTGATAATGCTTTTTTTTTTTCTTCTTCTTCTGACTGATGCTGTGGGTGTACTTAAATCTTCTTTCATCTTCACGTGACCTGTTGTTCGTTTGTGTTTTCAGCATTTAATCTGAAACATAAAGTCGTCAAAAGTTGATTCAGGTAGAAAACAAAGGCAGGCCTGATCTCCTGAAGGATTGCCCTGGGTTTCCAGACTTTGAACGCATTTTTTTTTTTTTTTCATATTTTGTGATTATCGGCCAACGGAAATCAAAGGTTTGCAGCTCAAATTACTTGCAAAAAGCTTCCCAGGGATAGTTCAATCATATTTAGTAAATATGACTGAAAAGCATTCTCTTTCTTAAAGAATACCACGAATATGTGCAGCAAATATATTAAAAAGGGAATGTAATATCCATAAATGCAATGTTTAATGCTTTCTGTCATTGAGTATTTTAGCTAAAGGGATGAATTACTCCATCATCTTCCATCTCCATAACAACCACATCTCTTCTTGTCATTTTGGTCAGCCTGTCTGCTACCTCTGTTATTGATCAAAGGTCTTTCCAATAGTAAAGTGAAATCCACTGGGCTGCAATGCAAACGGAGAGCAAACTGATCACACTTCCTGAATATGGTGGGCATGTTTGCACTGGTGTATCACTTGTTTTTTCTGCTCTGTGAGTCAGACATTGGACCCAATTGAAACATCTTGCAGGTGCAGCACACGGGTAGGTGGGGAGCTGATTTTATCCAGCAGTTATTTCAGATTGGTTAAGTACTTGTTCATTTGTATGAGGCATTTGCTATTGCAAAAATAAAAAAAATAAAAAAATACTCTAAGGCATTATTTACCATTGTATCAGCATTTCTTCCTACAAAAAGGTTTAAGTAGTTCTTTGGATTTCCGTCTTCCATCACTGTGAAAGTGTTTAGTGTATTCCTAAACATGAAACAGCCGAAACATACTGTTTTGCATCCTCTCAAGATTACTGCGTCGTATTTCACTGCATATAGATTATCCCTAAAGCTTATTAACAGAAGAAGGGATATTGCAGTACACGACAGAGTATTTTTGTTTTGAGAAAAGTGCAAACTTTCTCATGTCACTTCTATGATAAAGTATCACATTGTTGCATTGGCAAGCGTTTTTGATAAATGCCTTCAAATACCAAGGAGCTGTGAACAACTGCCCTCTCACTCACAATCATTAACACCAATTATCTACATCTTGGACGGGAAGCCCTGCGGCTTCCTGTTCACTTGACTTCATTTCCTCCCGTTGCTGTTATTGTATTGTTTGTCCTGTGTTTCTTCCGCTACGCATTTTGTTCACACGTAGATGCACACAAGCATCCGAGACGGCTTTCCAGGATAGAGGCTTTCCATCATAAACACTTCAAAAGGCTTGGCCTTCCTCCTTCACTTTCAGACTCGCTCTGGTTCCCATGTGTCTGGACTGCAGTTCAATCCTCACTTGCTCATACCGAGGCTCATCGGCATCACAGAGACTCTCCCCGGCCTCCCCAGGATGTACAGCTGCTTCTCTCTGCTCCGCTGCCTGGAAAATCTATCTTTGTGCAGATAATATTAGCTACATCCCCTGTTTACCCACAGCTGAAAAGTGAGCCATTGTATATGGAGGAGTCGGTGTCCCTGGTGGCTCAGAGTCGCAGAGTAAAGGGCGTAGGATGCTCTCAAAGATGGAGGGGAAAAAAATAGACAAACATGAGCAGGTGATGAAACTTAGTCGTCCCACGCTATTTTTTGTTGCGTTATTACAGAAAGATCACTGAGAGCTGAAAAAAAACTTATGGTAAAGAGGAGTGGACTGTTTGGAGCTGCACTCCCAGATAGCACAGAATGATTGAAACAACATTGAATCAATGTCANCTCAGAAGATGCGTGGAAACATTTGATAAGTATTACGATGTGGTTTTAACAGGATGCACCTGATACAGGAGGTGACTTTGCTATGGCGAAGAAACACAGTCCCTCTTTTATCTTTTTTTTTTCCTAGATCCGTTTTAGGTTTTAGCTCTGTCTTATCCATTTCCTCTCCCTAAACACGCATTAGATTGAAAGACCAACAAGTTAGATAATTCCCTTTTTTTTTTAAATCACTCCACCAAAAAGCAAAAGCTTTTTAACTTTTTGATTATTTAAAGCGCCTAATCTCATGTACACAGTTTTTCTCGCTACAACCTTTAAACTTTTTCCATCACCTCTTATTTAAACGGGGAGAACGATTGTTTTTGAGGAATGTTTCACTACCAGAAACCTTTTTTGCAAATACAATCGCCGTTATGTTTACAAGTTGCATATTTGTGAGGCAAATGCATTTACGTGTTGGCAAACAAGAGAAATTTACTCAGCACTTTTGTTGTTGACTCAGAGTGCTGGTTGATTGCACAGTGTCACTGTTTGGGACATGCAAATCTGGTTATGTTGAGAGGCGTGTAGTGGACCACAAGTCAACTAAATTCCACTACATTTCTTGCTTAGTAGTTTCTTTAGGTCAATGGTGGTCCACGGTTTGTTACTAGGAAAACATCTTACTGGTCAGGATGGGGTTGTCCAAACAAAAGTGCATATAGTCAGTCACACAGTCATTCATGTTCTCGATGTCCTTTGCACGTGGCTGGCAAAACAAAGCTGTTTTTTCCAACTTCCTGCGACCACCTCAAAGATCTCTTCTTTACAGGTTGCCTCTGAACTAGAGGTCTATATTCTGAGTAGAGAAAAATAAAATTGGGATCTGATTTTTCCAGAGGAGGTCTTGCTTTGAAAATATTTGAATCCTTGACATTTGCACATGGCTGCACAGCAGCGCAGTTGGTAGAGCTGTTGCCTTGCAGTAAGAAGGTCCTGGGTTTGGTTCCTGGCCCAGGGTCTTTCTGCATGGAGTTTGCATGTTCTCCCTGTGCATGGTGGGTTTTCTCCAGGTACTCTGGCTTCCTCTCACAGTCCAAAAACATGACTGTCAGGTTAATTGGTCTCTCTAAATTCTCTGTAGGCGTGTGTGAAAGCTGCAATTGTTTTTCTTTTTTATTGCCACACTACCACACTTCTGAGCAACATGACTATGTTTTTATTAAGATATATGTGTTCATTTTGTATTAAAAAGTGCCTTAGTCATTCACATACTTTTGTGCAAATTAAATTAGACATGAGCAGTAAACGTTTACACAATAAGTCTTTCATATCAAGCCAACAGCCCAGTCAGACCTGCAATGCAATATGTCTATAGCCTCTGGGAGAAACTTGGGATTCACCGTCTTTCCGAGAAACTCTGTCATTTATATAAAGTGTTCCTCAGATGAACCCTGAAAGTTTGGCAGCGAAGACAAAACACACACCAATGCATACATCTTTTTGTTTTGGTTACCCTTTGTCTAAATTTTTCTCTTGGGAGAGTTTTTATATATGGCTATATTCAGTATTTGTTTCTGCAGCAATGTTGTCATGTGAGGGTTCACTGAGCAGCAAAGTACTGCAATCAAAACCTTCTTAGGATGTACATGAAAACACATCTTGTTGTTTTTTGTATGTTAAGAGGTAAAACAGTTATTGCAAAGCTTAAATGGAAACTGCAAACCCTATAAGTCAAGGCCAATATGGCACGACTGTAAACCTGGATATGATGTGCAAGGAAAGGTTTTATAAGAGAAGCAGCCAGAAAGACCATGGGAACTCTGGAGGAGCTACAGAAATCTAGGGCTCAGAACAATTCCTCAACAGGAAGGCTCATATCCGTGCTCTCCGTGAAAACGATACGAAATCGATTTGAAATCGATACTTGAAAGAACGGGGAGAAATACCCGTACCGGGTTCAACCTGTGGTTTGCTATAGGGGACACAGGTATGGATGGAAACAAAGTTGAGCTTTCTAGTCGGCATGCAAAACACAAGCGTTGGCAGAAAAAAAAGAGTTTTCATTTTCAAGATCAAAGCTTATTCATATGCAACAATTTGACTGTGTGCATGATTGAACTGAAATGATTTTAAAGTGCCTCGAAACAACACTTCTTGTTATTTGACTATATAAATAAAACTGAAGTGAATTGAATCACAATCAGTACTATACTGTCCTTTAAAAACTTAATGAAATACTTAAGACATAAAGAAATCAAGAAGGGTGAATATTTTATAAAGCACTGTAAAAGCAATGTCGAGAAATTTATGGAGAGGGAACGATTATTTCTAAAAGAAATAGCGAAAGAAAGTAAGAAAAAAAGAAACAAAGAAAGGAGGAGGGGGTTTAGAAATGACGCCTTCGTGTTTAGTCATTCAGCGCCACAGTAGCCTGGGAAATAAAGCCTCAGTACAGCGGAGGAGTTAGAAAACCCCCAGTGAGGCAGCCGCTCTGACGGCTGTTACCAGAAGCAGCGACCAGCGGAAAGCCTCGCAGCTTTCATGCTGGAGCAGCGGCGTGTTTAACGGAGACATCCCCGCGTCTGTTTCTTCGGGGTTTCAATCGGTGTAACATGACTTTTAGCGCCGTGTTGACGCTGCTGCTTGCCGCCCTGTGCTGCCAGCAGGTGGGCTCCGCCAAATGCCGGGTGAGTTTAGACACAGTCCTGAACTGAGAGAGGCTGCACGGATTTAATCTGGATTTTAATCACTACTGGGTTCATTTTAGGCGTAAATGTCTAGACAATATGTTTACGAATGCCCCCTTTTCCTTATACATTTACTTATAACTTTATACTTAAATGTTGTGAACCGATTTTCTGTTTGTCCAATTTCAGAGAGTTCGTGAAAATGGTGAGTTTATTATTATTATTATTATTATTATTATTATTATTATTATTATTATTATTACATTTCTCACATTAAGTGCTCTTAAAGTTCAGCAATCATGGTTATTTTAGACGCCATTTGATTCATAATAGAAAATTTCTCATTGATTTCTCTTATTTTGTGTTTAAAATGGATGAGTTGAAATTTTGTTATTTGCTTATGCACACAGCCCACAGGTTAAAAGGGCAAGTACGTTTTTCCATATTCCTAAACTGCCATCCATCCTGTTGCGCTGTTTCCTGTACACCTCAGATATACATGGCATTTTTCGCTACCAAATCGATACAGATGAATGATAGGCTAAAATAAAAATATGACCTAAGTGTCGAGGCGGACCCGTCACATTGCAGTTGGGAGTACTCCGGTTGCAAGTTGGAAAGATGTTGGATTTGCTGTCTGTTCTGTCACAAACTACTATTAGCGACACAACATTTTGTTTTCCTTCTATTTTAAGGGCATTTTAACGCACTAAATCAAAACGTTTACTAATAAACATGCTACATTGCTTTAATGAGATCCAAACTATCTGAAATGGAATATAATAAATGGCAGCAGCCTTCACTACAGTCTGCAAATGCAGCCGCCTTGTTGGAACTTCAGGGCTCCTTCTGTATAAGTCACAATTCAGAGGATTTCCTTCATATACTTATTAGGATGTACCATATTTTCCCAGCACTTGAAGAGTTGCAGGGGGTGTAAAAATATAAGAATGAAGAGAAAGTTTATGTTTTCATTGTTTTAAGTTATATTTTAAAAAAATGACAACTTAAATTTCTTCTTATTCAGTTTTGATCACAAATTAGAAAATAAAATATTGTTTTTCAATGGAATATTTTGCATTTTAAAATGAAAAAAAAAAAAAAAGACACACTTTGTTGTATTTCATAACCGGTTTCTGACAGAAAAATCTGATTTCAAAAACATTGACAGATCCTTTGTTGGCCCCATGTTGCACTACGGCTGTCTCAGATGTTGTTCAGGGACATTGTCCCATAAACTTGACCTCTGACCCGCCCCCAGCAATAGAGACAAGCAGTGGATATTATGAAACGATAAGAGTCCAGGTCTGGATTAATTCTACTGGTACGTTCTGTAACTTAACCTTTAATTATTTGTGCTGCTGTACATTTATCTGTAAATATTTTTGGCATCATCAACCTTTCATTGTGGTTTATCTGGCAAAGTTACTGGAAGGTTTCTCAAACTGCTGTCTTCCAGACTTTCTTCAGATTGAAATGGAAGGAAACTATAGAGAGGTTTTCAGGCCACACACGAGCTGCAAAATAAAGGTTCTCATTGCTTCTGAGTATTGTGTACATTGTCATAATTTTACAGTTTGTGATGTTTTATGTACTGTTTACAATGATGACATATTTCTTTGCACCCTAGAATCATCGGAATCAGGCAATCAGGTGTTGCAAGAATTCTGTGAACTCTCACCTGGTAACTACTTAAATATTTTTATGGACTAAAATGTAATACAAACATGATTATGCAAATATAAAAACATTTTTTGGTGCTTATCTTTTTGGGGATTTTTTTTTTTTCAGTGGAAGCTGGAGTTTGACTTCAAAGTTGCCTCTAGACAGACCGCTTATGTGTCGTACAGCTCAAAGTCGATAAACTGCAATGTTCATTACGTTGTTCCAGGTGAGGCATTTTGAATTTCTCGCATAATCTTTTATCATGCTTTTGTCTGCCTTCTTTTATCTGGTTTCTGTCTCTCGGACATCACCCTTTCCACACTCTCTTGGTCTTCATCATAAGGAGTTTTGAAAAGTGTGCTACTTCAAATGAACTTTAAGACATGCTTTGATATGTATTGAACTACATCTGCATTAACAGTTTCAGGTTTAGAGTAAAAAAAAAAAAAAAACATTTGTTCATGGTTTACCAATCTAACCATCATACAGGATAAAAGCTTCTTTCTACTTAGTCTAATGGTTTATAAAAACCTGCCATATAAGGGATGAACGCCTTTCTCAGCAGTCTTGGTTAGAAGAATGAAAGGTGTGCTTTGTGCATATGCATATGCACAGAAAACCTCAGATTTTAGAGGTTGATTGGTGCTACATAGTAAGAATGACTTCATAAACAAATGTAAAGAAAGAGTATTAATACATTCCTTTACATAAGATCTATTTAGGTTTTCCTTCATTTTCAGCCATTATCCCACCATTTTGGCTCACACCCTGCTGCTGTTTTGTTTTTCTCGTCTGACTTAGCTCCTCAGCCAGACTTCAGGCTGTCTGTGAATGAGTCGTCCAAAACCATTTCAGTCCATGTGGATTCTGGAGACCCGGTGAAAGTCAGATGGTGTTATGAAAAAGATTCTGGCTGCTCCAGTGGCGATCAACCACTAACCACAGTGAGCATCCGAGGCCCATTCATCACAATAAAAATTAAATTTATGTTGTTTATTTACGTCCTCTTTCTGCATGTGTGCTTCAGAGCCGCTCAGCTGTTATCACCATCCCCCATCTGCTGCCCTGTGTGTGTGTAGAGGTGAGCGCCATTCAGATTTTTAAAAAGATTTTTTTATTTTTTTTTTTGGTGGTATTTTTGCTGATGTTTCTGTGGTTTTCTTGTTTCTATATTCGTTGTATTTACTGGCAGGTGTACTACACCTACGAAGATGCCTCAAGACGTAGAAAGTGCCCATTTCGAAATGAAAGCCTTATTGGTGAGTGTGGCTGATGAATCATCTTAATTTCACCGAGGGGAAACATCTAAGCCTCTTGTAAGTCAAATCGAGTGTAGTCAGTTTGGGAAATTCAAAATATGCATGCGAGTAATCATGTTTGAGCTCGCTAAAAAAAAGTCTTTATTTCTGTGAGCATTTTGAAAGTGAGCACAGTTTCCAGCAATGATTCTGCTGAGATGGAGGTTGTTATTTGAAGGGGGATGTGTCACAGGAAACACAGGAAACTGCTGTGAACTCAGCTTAGAGTATGAAAAAGTTAGCTCTGGCCTATTTTTGTTGTTTCTCTGAAAGCATGGGTAGATATTTCTTTGCAAACTAGGAAATAATAGGCAAATAGTTTAGTCTCAGTTATTGCTCATCAACACCTGCCATATGATTGGGTATTAAAATAACAAGAAGTGGAGGGATAAGTGAGCTGTCTGACATTTTCAAACAGCTCACTCTGCACACAGAGTACAGAAATAATGATAGACAACGTCTCTCTGACACTTAAGAGTTAATTAAGGAACATTTCTCATTAGTTTTTTGGTTTTTCACAACTTTCCCCTATATGCTCATGGCATGTCTAAGCTGCAAAGATGCGAGCTGATCATTTTGTGCAAAAGTAAAAACAAAACTGATCATTTCAAAAACAATCTCTACAAAAGTTGATGCCGCAAAATTTGCTAAACATTTGTCTTACGGCAAAGAATGCCAAACATTCAACATACATCGTTCTAAAACTGTTTGAAAGATCTGAGACCGGCTCATGGCCAAAGCAGAAGCAGGCTTTCTTGTTGCCCTTATTAACTTGCAACAACTGAACAATCAGTCGCAAAGGCGGTAATAAGCAATGGAAGAAAAAAAAAAAGTCCTAGAATTTTACTGACGTATTAGAAATCTTCACCAGAGATAACGCTCCGTGTCATCCAAGTTATTCATAGCGTGCCACATCTTATTAAAGTTTCTGATCAAAATTCTGCAAGATGATGTATGTGGGTGGGTGACGGCACCCACAGTCTCTCTTTAATCTACAGAGATTAAAGAAGAATTGCATCAGCAGGGCTGTTTCTCTGAAGCTTGATTAAAATAAATCATTTCCCGAGTTTCTTCATAAATGCCAGCACTGAGCTCTGTCCAGTCTCTTAGATTTATTTATGTACACATTCTGTGAATAAGGTTCAGATGCCGCTCTAACTCCCTGGATGAGGGTCTACTTGCATTTCGTAAACAAGTAATGTAATAAGTGCATTTGGACAAACCTCAGTAACCGTTATCTTAGACCTCACTCTACACTGTGACAGGAGGATTGAATTATACCGTCAATGCCAGGCTGTTGCTAATTAAATCTCTATTGCCATGTCATATGGCTAAATATTAAACACAAGACTCTTTGGTCTTGTTCTTAACCAATTACATTGTTAATTATTTAGAGACTGTGTAGCCACAGGGGTTTAGGAGTCACAGCGCACAGGTGGAAAAAAAACCCCCCAAAAAAACAACCTCAAGCTGTGTTACACATTGAGGCAGCCGCATGTGAACTCTGTGTAAACTGAGCAAAACTGTCCTGGCATGAGCTTGTCTTTGATTTAAAAGACAGCAGAGAGCTTCTTGGTTTGCTTTTGAAGTACTCTGGTGTAACAGGTGGGTCACCTGTACGAAGGTTCACTGACGCATTGAAGCTGAAGGGTAAACTGGAGATTTGTAGAATCAAATGTCACAGCCTGTTTTGGTGATGGATGTTTACACACTGTCGTGCTTCGGGGAAAAAAAAAAAGTGTGCTTACTTTTGAGTTTTATTTTGCGTGAGATCCAAGGTTGTGTGATATCTACATGGATACAGTGTGTTCCTCTCAGGGTAAGACGGGTGGTGGAGGCTGGTGGAGAGACATCGCCAACTAGAAATATCTGACAGGCTCCAACTCGAACCTCCAAAATGTATTTTCTGAAGTAAACTGCTTATGAAACAGAAAATCTAATTTTTGACCGGGTAAATCTAAAATCTGCGTTTATTTTAAATGATTCACCAGACAACAGAGAAATCCTGCAGACCTCTACGGTGACGATGTATGATTCCCACTTGTTGTGGGTCCCGAAGTGTCCTGAATGCAGAAAGAAAGTCTCTGCTGCCCTCTGCTGGAAGATGCATAATAACGTCTGCATACCTATTCCCAACTCCACTCTGGAGACGAGCAATGACCCTGCCCTGGTAATAATCTGCACCATTTGAAAATATATAACTGATTTATTATCTGTAACAAGCATTTTTTTTTTTTTTACAGCAAATTAAAACATCCACAGTGGATAAACACCCCCAGATATGTGTGCAGGTGAGATCACCTCTGAAAAATTGCCTCTTGTACTTTTTTTTTTTGTGTGATAATAACATTTATTTATTTATTTATTTTACAGTTTTTCATCCAAGATAGCCACTCCATCTCTTGTCTCTTTAACAACGGTGAGTCAGAGCTGTTTATACATGAGTGGTGACGCATCAGAGCTTATCTTAATGTTTTCACTCTCTCTTCTTTTGACCCTTCCAGATAAACCTACTTGGGAAGCGCATATCACGCCAGTCAGACAGAGCATGTTGGTGCATATTACCTTCACTCTGTCCGCAACGTTTTCAGCTCAACTCTGTCTTCTCACTGAGGCAGGATGTGTGCCTCGGGGACAAATCCACTCAGAAACACTGGTTAGTTCAGATGTTTACAATGGAAATATGCGCAAATGAGCGAATTTGGTTTCATCTGGTAAACAATTTGTTGCGGCAGGACTTAAAAGTGCGACATCTTTTCAGTGAATTTAAATTCCCAAACAACAATGAAAAAATAAGAATGAAATGAGAATGAAATGCCTTCGGTTTGTTGGAAGGTGATCTCATGAAGCGTAGATTTGTGATAGGATACATTAAAGTACCTGAGGTCAGCCGCCTTACTTGACTGGAGTAAAAACAATGAATGGTGACATGCAAGGCTGATAGGCACAGAGCAAGAATAGCAGATATGTTGGAGAAAGGATTTATTTTAAGGATGTCTGAGCAGGAGGAGGGAAAGAAGAAGAACATGGTGACAGCTCATGACTGTAGCAAAGGAAGATTTGATGTCAGAAGCACAAAACCTCCTGTTTGAAAAACAGTGCCTGTTGTTTCTCAACATGTCCCAATGAACTGGGGTGTAGATTTTTTTTTTTTATCTAGTTGCTTTTTTTAAAAAATTTTCTAGCAGGCACCGTGATTGTGAGCAGCTTTACTTGTTTTGAAAGTTTTGTTTGGTTTAAACCAAACAAATCTGATGCTTGTTTTGAGCATCAGCTTCCAGAGGGTTGGTGAGGAGGTGGAGGATGTTTGGGACAGAGTGAGATAGAAGCATGTGAGCTCCCCCTACAGGGAGTAGCTGGAAGAACAAATAAAAGACAGCGAGTCTGTTTTCAACATCCACTCACTCACTGTCGACTTTATTAAGTACACCTTTCCAATACAAATTTGAACTCCTTTTGACTTTTCAGACTTTCCGGCGAGGTCTTCTGCTGCTGTAGCTCAGCTTCCTCTGGTTTTATCAAGTGGTTAATTGAGCTACAATTGCCTTTCTATCACCCCAATCTCCTATATCAAGGCTACTGGATATTTTCTTTGTCAGATGATTACGTAGACCACTTGATGCTTAAATGCATTGCTGTCTTCTGGGGCAAGCACAGTTGTTACTGTAATTTCTTAAATTAAGATTTATTGGTTGAAAAGAAAATGTTGTTTGTGCAAAACAGCAAAGAAATGCTTAGTGAAAAATTTGGTGGGGTAATGTATCTCAAGGGCTATGCATCAATATGCAGCATGGCAATAATAAAATTCATCGGTTGGGTGGAGTTTTTCTGTCCTTCAATGTTGTACTTTTAATTGATTTATTAACACTAACAGAAGGCTCTGAGGACATCATATGAAAAAGAAAGAAAAAGAAAAGGAAAATGTAGGCTATTTGTGACATCGTTGTGGGAATATTCCATAATAAAATTATATGCTTACCTGACTGATTAAACAATTTAAATTAATTTAAAGTGCTTTTTACAAATGAAAAACATAAATATTGTGCTAACTTTAGCTGCCGTTCGTTCTGTAAGCATATATGTGGGGTGCCAACAACTGTACCATTAAAAGCTGTTATGTCTGCATTTCAGTTTTTTCTTTCATTTGGAATGCATTAATTATATTTTCATGCTACGGAAAGTTGTGACCTTTCTCTCTCGTTACAGGCCACCAATAACCAATCAGTCGGGATAAATGTACCCATTCAGGACATTACTGAGAGGTCATGTGTGCAGGTAAAGAAAATACTGGCTGGATGAATTTCTGGTTCTGTGTTGTTGTGTTTTCATTATCTGGTTTTTCACTTGTTTTTTCTACAGGTGTGGCAATCATATCCGGCTCTTAGTGGGAGAAGAATCCTGTGCCCGGACTGTAAGGAATTACACACCCGGGCCTCTTTGCGTGTCTTTGGGTTATGCATGAATGCACATGTACCTCTTAATTAAAAACAAACCTCGACTTACTGTTGTTTGTTTTTTCTAGACACACACAACAGGCGGGGTGTGTACGCAGTTGGAGTTTTGCTACTTGTTGTCATCTGCATGTTACTTGGATGTTTCATTCACCGTGCCACCAAAAGTGGAATGGCAGGTCGGTTCTGTGGTTTCGTTTTATTCGTGTTGCACAACGATTGTGCCGGCAGATCTTAGTGATGTGAACACATTTTCTGTGTTTTCCTTACACCCAGGATGCCTGACCATTCAGAGGCCGGTGCTGCTGGTGTGCTCGTCGGATCAATCGGCCCACGTCTCTGCTGTGTGCGCCTTGGCCTCCATACTGCATGAGGAACTGGATGCATCAGTGCACACTGCTCTTTGGGCCCAAAGCTCTCAGATGCAGGCTCAGAATGGGGCTAGCGTGGCGGATCTGGGTCCGCTTCCTTGGCTGTACGGGCAGTGGGAAGCTGTCCGTAAGGCGCAGGGAAAAATGCTGATCGTGTGGAGTCCTGAAGCTAAAAGGACTTATCAAAGATGGAGAGTCAATAGGGTGGATATGGATAATAGTTGGAGAACTGACAAAATCAGGGCACCAGTGCATGACCATTTAAAGGTGACTGGGTCTAGGGTTGAAAAAGTTAATGATGAGAAATGTATAGAAAGCGAAAGAGCTAATTGTTTTGAGGATGAAGATTCACAAAAGGAGCCATCTACTGTTATAAAGCCCATGTTTGTGGCTGCTCTGGCTTCTCTGGAAGCAGCACTGCTGGAGGGCAAAGGTAAAGATGTTGCCATTGTTTACTTCCAGGGCCTGTGCCACAGCCGGGACATTCCCCATGCCTTCAAAGGGGTCCCTCGCTTCTGTTTACCTCAAGAATTCAGCGGGCTCATACAGGAGCTGGCAGAGGTGAGAGAAGGGACAAAAAGCGGCGAGGTCAGATGGCACTGCTGGCCCAGACTCCTGTCTAAAGTTCTGTCCGTGTGGCTGGCTCGCCAGCTGACCCAGAGGCTACAAACCGTTCTGCCTCAGACACGAGCTCAGCGTGTCCCATCAGCAATAAAAACGTCATCAGATCAGACAAAGAGCAAGTGGAAGTTGCCTCTCGTTGGCTCACCCACCAGCAAACAGGAACGGGAGCTTCTGCACAGGTAGCAATGGGGAACTGGGAAGCTTTGATCTCAGGCTTCACACACCAGAAATTTGCCCTGCAGGAAACATGATCCTGGAGATTCTGTGAGGTAACATGTCAAAGTTGAGCCTTTGGGAGCCGCTCACTAGAACCGTTTGTTGCTTGCTCTCACTTGTTTTGCATATCAAGGAGAGGCAAACACTCTGTCTTTTCCCCCGGATTTCACCACTCAAAACAGAGGCAGCTTTATGCTAACCTCTCGTGACAGAGGCAGAGAGCGAACACCTGCCTTATCTCTGAAAGTATGCTAACCACTATGAAAATGGACTTGCAAATTATTACTTCACTTTCTTCGCGTGCTCGCTCAGTGTTTTCGCATCCTGTGACAACACAGGTGACAAACTGTACTGGCGCTGTTCGCTGTGGTGGACACATTTGCATAGGATTTTCTAAACACATGCACATAGCCACGACAGTCTCAGGATTTCCTTTGTTGGAATGCAGCGGTGTTGAAAGATGAAGATGACTGACTTATTTGCAAGTTTTGATTGTTCTGATGTTATGACCCTGCAAGTTCAGGCATGTTTGCTTTTGGCAATTCTGATTATACTGCAGACATACTACCTCAAATTCCATCTTATGGTAATGCATCTTGTTTAAGAAACTTTATTTGCATAATTTGTCGCCAGGAGTCATTTGATGAATATAAAACTAATCCAGTGTTAGTTAGTTACTCAAACGTAAACATCTACCTCAAAAATCTCAGAGCATTAGTTAAAGAAAAGCATGACTGAGGTACTTTTCCACATCTATCCCCCTTGCAAAAAAGAGACTAATCAAAGGTCAACGGTTAAATTTATGCAAAGCAACTTTAAACTGTAAGCTTAAACTGTAGACGCGACAGGATATCTGCAGATGGATATGATTGCCACTTTAGGAAATGTTTGTGCAGCTCTTTTATGTTTTTTTCACTGCTTCAGTAAACCATGTTTAGCGTTAGCCTTGCACTGCTGGCATTATACAACAATGTAAAATAATGAAATACTTTTGATAGAAAAAAAAAAGTGTACTTTGTGAAAATCTCATCACATGCACCATCACATGATATTCATGGGGGATAACGTTGTTACTCTACAGAACCTTGCAAAAATTCACACACATTGAACATTTTCATATACTTTCATGATCTCTTATTTTATTTGGACTTTAAATTAACAGAACGACTCAGAGTAGTGCGCAGTGGTGAATTGGAATCAATTGCAGCTGAAAGTCTTTTAGCTACCAATGGCTTTTTTTTCCTATCACTCTTCTGTAAAGGACAGATTTATCTAGTCCATTACTTATAATTTCACCGTTTACAGATTCTCCCTCCCGAGCAGTGGATCTCTGCAGCTCCTCCAGAGTTGCCATAAAAGTAAGGTTTTGGCCTCTTTCCTAAATAAAAAAAGCTTTCCTAACCAGATTGTTAGTTTAGCTTTACCCCATATTTTAGTATGTTTCATTATATTGTTCTCTTTCTTTCCATTAAAAAAAACATAGATCAACTAGATCTTTGTGACAGATCCAAATCTTGGGATATGGTTTTAAAACTTTTCCTGCTTTTAACTTCTCCGCAGCATAATCTCTGACCTTTCGGCTGGGTTTTTTTAGTTGTTTGTTCACTTACATTTCCTATTAAACCTTTGAGATCTTCCATATTACACAAAGGCAAACTGTAATTATTTTTTGGCTTACATTGGAATTTACTTGAAAATATCAGAATTAAAGCGATCCTTACAAATGCTCAATATGTGCTGCTTGACGGAGATCAAATATAATCCTTGTAAAACACTCTGTGGTTTGTGGTTGTAACAGAACAAAATGCAAAAAGCTTGGGTAGTGTGAATACTTTTGCAAACATAGGAAGCAGATTTTAATAGTCATTGATTCACCTTCCTTGCTGATCGCACTCAGACATGATTTAACTGTACCGCCGCGATCAAAGGGCACAGTCATGTAAACAAAAGCCTATACCACATCCAGACCTTGATGTTGGTGCATTTTTCAGTATATTATGAAGGTTGGCTGCGCTTCCCTGGCAGGCCAGTTTACTCTCACGAGTACAAAGTTGTTTAATGTGGAGTTGAGCCAAATCTACTATTTGAAAACTCAGCAAACTGTATGCATTTAAGAGCCCAGCATGATTTTGTATTTCAATTTATGGTTGAACCAAATGCTGCAGGCATGTCAGCCTGTTAGGAAAGCAAGGAAACAATCAGTGGACCTAACTGATCCTAGAACTTAAGGAGGAGGCAAGTCATTAAATGTTGACGCCCAACTGAAACAACCAGACATGTGGTTCCTGCAGAAAAATTCATGACCACAACACAGACTGTAAAGTTGTTTGAGATGTTTGCTGTTCAACTACCTTTGTGGGCTGAACAGTTGTGAAAAAGATAGTTAATTAAAAGTGCTCTTCTCCCTTTTTTTCTTTTTTTTTTATCTCAGCTCTGAATGCGAGCTTTAATATCCTTGTGCTTATTGTTATGATTAAACATGCTTGACTCTTCAAACCTTCAATTATTTTCCAACAAAGAGATAGCAAGGTACATTTTTTACTGAGTCCTTTATTCATATAATCAAAAAGAAAGAAAAACTGATAGGGTTGCTGGAAATTTCACAATAGAACCTATAAATAAAAAAGTGCATGATTGATGCTGGAATAAGATTCTGTTTTGATTCTGTCTATATATATATATATAATTCAAGCTTGTATTGCAGCAAAAGAAACACTGAATATGTTTCTAGTGGAAGAGTGAATCCTATTTTTATGATCCTATGAACTAAACAAAAGGGTTATTTATACAAAATGGTTCAAAATTTTAACAGAAATGTTTGTTTTTTTTTTTTGGAAAAGTGGTGCCTTCAAATTTTAAGTTGCATACAATTGTGAAGTGAAAGAATAATGGTTCAAGATTCAGATTTCATTTTACAAGTAAAGATTTTAATAGTTTGCCATTCATTTGTATTCAGTTCTCCTTTTACTCTGACGTCCCAAAATAAAATTCAGTGCAAAGACATGCCTTCAAAAGTCCAATAGCCGTCCATCCATCCATCCATCCATCCATCCATCCATCCATCCATCCATCCATCCATCCATCCATCCATCCATCCATCCATCCATCCATCCATCCATCAACTTTTTCTTCCTTTATGAATAGACTCACATTTCAGAGCTACAGGCTGCCATATATTAAGATGTGAGCAGATAAAGACCATAGTTTGGAGGTTCAATGCACACAAGCGATGATTAAACATAATAACCATGTTGAATATGGGAAGCCAAGGGTCTGCTGCCTACACCCCTATAAAAAGCCAGAGTGACTGTAGTTTGGTGGGGTAACTCTTTTTGCCTTTGTTCCCTGCAGACCAAGCCGTAAATTTAGCTTGCTTAATAAACGTATTCATTAACTTAAGCCTGTCTAGCAGAGGTTTTACATATGCATCTCACAGAGGCATTTCATCAACAATTAATTAAGGCATTGAGTGTCCTCTCAATGCCTTAATTAATTGCTAAACACTGCTATTTCATCTGTTTTTCCTTTCATTTCCATAATATTTAAATCTGAGATCTTCTGTCAACTTTAAACTTTTACTACCAGGAAGCTCTTGTTTACCCCATATCCTGCCATGACCTGAAACAAATCTTTCACCTGTGTGACTGTTGTTCAGGCTTACGTCACAACCCGCACAAAAAGGATCCGCCCATTCTTCGTCGGAAACCTGTCGCGCTCTGTGAGAAGTCAACTTTTCCACTGTTACACCTGAGCAGGTAGCTCAACAGCGACACGCCCACGTCCCGGGGCTGTCAATCAGTTTGTGCAGTGAAACCTAGTACAGGCGGCTCACATGTGCGGATCCAACAGCAAGCCAAGCAGCTTGTCTTCTTCTTCTTCTTCTTCTTGGAAATATAGTTCCGCTGAGGCGTAGCGGTGCTCTATGGACGAAACGGTCAAGGAGAAGCTGGGAGCAGAGGATTAAAACGTCCCTGTCGGCTGCGAGCGGAAAATATGACTCCCTTTCTCCGCATGGGAGCGCATGTTGTGGCTGTGCTCGTGTGGCTGCTCCCGTCAGCAGGCGCGCAGGAAAAGGGCACACCTGAACTAAGCTGCGGCGAGGTAACCGACTTAACCGACATTGTCAACTTAAACTTTAAAATGACACCTAATTGGTCTATTTCTGCTTCATAAATGTTTATTATGTGATAACATCGCTCGTTAACGTTGTTTTACGGTGCTACGTATGAACATTATTGTTTTACGGGTCGGAATTCAGGAAAGACGCGCATCCAGGCAGGGATCAAACTTTAATGTGCATTACTTATTTAGCTGTCCTGAGCATGACACCTTACCTCACTGTCCCAGTTCTGGCCAAGTTACTTTCACACAAAACCACTAAACTTCTGAGTAGTATGAAACAGCCTTCTAAAATAAAATGGCCATTTTCAGAGTTTCATCCTACATTTTTTTGTAACTTTTTTTTTCATGACTGCACCTAAATGCACTTTGAAGAAGTTAGAACATCACCTAAAAGTTTAGTATTTCAGATCATTAAGAGGAGCTCCTGTATTTTGCAGGTTCATTACAGAGAGGGTGATACATTTCATGGATGATTTTGATCATTAACTTACTGTTTTGCGAAGCCTAAAATTCAGTTTCTGTGAAGATTAGATTAGGACTCGTTTTAAATTCGTTTTAACGCAAACATATTAAGTTTTTGTTTTACAATGACTTAAATCATTGGCGGCACTGACTGACTTTTCAGTTTTCCATTAAGAGTTCTTAAAAAAAAAAGTCTGTTTGGGGTGCCGTGTCGTGAAAAATTGAGTGGAAGAAAAAAGTATGGAAAGAAAATGCCCAACCAACTGAAATAACTTCAGCCTTCCAAGAATTATTTAAGAGTTTGGTGGAGATTCACTTGCCACAGACTGCACTGTAACTGTTGCATTCCTTGTGGTAATCCCCTACTGAAACAGAGATTATGCCTGAAGTGTTTTGGTCTCATTGGTTGGCTGATGCCTGTTTACCCCCTCCGGGGTGAAGATAGCTGTTTGGTGTGCTGAATCCAAGCGTATAAATATAAATTTGAGTGACAGGAAGAAAATGTAATTTCGAAAGTACACAAGCAACAGGTTGAAGTCTTAGTAGATGCTTTGCACTAACACGATACGTTTTGTTTTCTCTCACAGATTTACAGAGCAAGTTAATTAAAAATATGTTCTTGGAGCTGACACCTGAAACTGGTTGTACTAAAATTAGTCGAGTGGAAATAATTTATACAATAAACACGGATACAGAATCAAACCAAACTGCGGAACATCTGGGATGAGTTTGTTTTGACACTGTTTCCAAGTGATCATCTGGAGCTATTCATGGAAGCATAAATTAGATTAGGTTACCTCTTTATTTTTGCTTCATGCTGGTGTTTTATTATTAAATAAATTATTATTACAGCAACAGTCTTCTATAGTCACACATTTTTTGAGGGGGATAAAAACATATTTGCCACCAGCACTCCGCCCTCATTTAACCCAAAATCTGTCAGTCAGACATGCCATAAAAATAAATGGTTAGTTGTAAATTACACCCATCAAACGCATTCAGAAAGCGGGGAAATAACAGATGAAGATAAAGTGGAATTAAGGAGAAAACTAAAAGTATTTAAATTGGAGTTATTTAAAATTGAGGTCATTTGATTTTCCAGGCACAATGAGGTTCATGTCACCTTTGAACAATTTCTGAGCTTCTAAAAATACAGAACCCTCCATTTTTACTGGGTCACCTGGTAAAGATGTGCCAAAACCTTCAAACTATCTGCTGCTCTGCAGATGCAGTAATAAGATGATGCAGTTCCCTAAAACTCACCCTTTGAGATCTTTTTACCACCCTTGATGTGATCCATAATGGGAGAATAAAGTCTTTTTACAGCCTTTTGTGTCACAATTTCAATTTCTTCAAACTTTTTTTTATCATTATCCAGACTGTACATATTGAAAAGAATAGGCAAGTATTTCTCGTCAGCATTTCATGAGTTATGTAGAACAATAGATATTTGTCTGACCTAAATGCATGTTCTCTTGTCTTTCTCTTTTGACACATGTTTGCCAGAGGTTAGCTGTATATGTGTATATGTTCCTCTCTTCTTTTACCATAGATAGTTTATGCATTGTTGATCACAGGAGGAAAACTAAAAAAGCCTTGTAAAAAAAAAAGACGTTTTTATGCAACGGGTTAATTTTTCTCTTCCCCAATAAGAAAGTCTCCCAGGCTGTGGGAACCCTAGCTTTTTTATGTAAAAAAAAAAACACTTTTTATGGGTAAATATAAAGTTACAGATGAATTAAAAAAAACACACAAACATAGAAGATTAAATCAGTTAATATTAAACCCATTTAAAGGTCAAACTAATGAGAAATTGAACAGGATCAAAGTAACAGTTTATGTGGAGTTTATGACTCATTGCTGAGTTAACTGACACAGTCGGCAAAAAGCCCTGCCGACTGGAGGCATCAAAAATGAAACCTAAATTCAAATACTGTTTTTTGTTCATGTTTTTTCAGATGAAATCTCTATGAAAAGTGTTGTGATAACCTGACACCCACCAAAGACATTCAGTAAGAGAAGAAAGCGGGGAAATGTACTAAAAAATTATTTTAGTGCATTTTTTCTGTTGTTTGTCATAGCCCTTGTTCCGTGTTAGAGGTAGAATGAGGTTCAGAAGCTTTAGAGAACACTGTGACGCTTTTATGAAAACTGCACCCAATTTTAAACAAATGTAATGTCCTCAAAGTCCACAGTCCTATAAAATTTTAAAACAGCCAGGTTGAAATTTAGTTTTACTCCTGTAGTGGTTTTGTTCTTGTATAAAAACCTGTGAATACCTGTTAAGCCAGTATTTATTGTTGATGTGCTTCGTAGGTGCGGTTCATTAACATTTTCCTTATATCGTTTTTTCCTCGCCTCCAGGGTCTCTCTGACTGCCACATGACCAAAGGTAGCTGCATGACATCGGTTGTATGCTTCTGTTTTATAATGACAAGCTCGCACGCCTGCAGTCGGTCTGAACAGGCGCTCTTTGTCTTCAGTATCTTTCAGAGATGCCCCACCTGATCCTTATGGCTCTCTAAATATTACACACGTTCATCTCAACGCCACTCACTGCCACCCTGCCTCCTGTGAACCATGTCTACAAATTGAAATCAGTCTCCAAGGTAACTTCAAATATTTATTTTCTAAAAGAAATCTACAGTGGCCCAAAACCGTCGACAAAACGCAAAAACCACAACAAAAGCCATAATGCTAATGAAACTATATATATATATATGTAATTATAGCTTCTGTTGTAGCTTTTTGTTGCAGCACTGTGGCTTCTGTTGTTGCTTCTGCAGTATTTACTAGTGCTGTTTTCTTTGCTGACATAATTGCATGTTGCAGTAGGTGCAGACTTCGAAAAGCAGAGTCCTGATGGATCAGGTGACGACAGCGATGAAGAAGGTATGAAATAAAC